ATCGCCAGGGCTGGGGGCAGCTGGCAGGCACCGTCCAGCGGTTCTGGCAGGGGTCGAAGCACTGCACCTTGGGCAGCTTCTCCTGGTTGGTGCTGGTGCCACCGAAGACAAACAGCTTCATCTTGGCTCCCACCACGGCAGCGTTGCTCACGCCTTCTCGGAGAGGAGCCACCAAGGACCACTTGTCCAGCTGTGGGTCATAGTGTTCAACTTGCTTGAGAGAGACGGAGGGAGAGGCGGGGAAGGCACCGCTCACTGCCGTGTGACCCCCTACCACATACAGACAGTGGTCCAGCTCGGCGGAGCCATGGCCAAACCGCGCCACCAGCATGGGAGCAGCTTTTGCCCACTCGTCGTGGAGGGTGTCATAAACCCAGACGTCTTTGGAAGCGCCGTTCTCGGAGCCTTTGCCGCCAGTGATGTACACTTTGCACCCGACGGCGCAGGCACTGCACTCTTTACGAGGGCTTGGGATGTCAGCGCGAGGAATGATCTCGCTGGTGTTGTGATCCAGCATATAAATCTTGTCACACATAAAGGTCTGGCCACCGAGCAGCAGCAGGGCCTGGCTGACCTTGCGGGGTCGGGCACAGCACCCTGTCACAAGGCCGTCATTTTGCAGGATCTTCATTTTGCATCGTACAGCATCGGCCACAATCTCCTCCCCCAGCTTGTGGCTGGGGAACAGATGCTTCCGCAGGTAGGACTCGGGCAGAAGGGCCAGGCGGACGGAGCGCAGCAGCTCTGGCAGAACTTCATGGCGTCGGGGCAAATCATATCGGATCCAACCTATAACGGCTTCGTAGACCAGTGTCTCATCCTCTACCTCCAGCTCTTCGCTCTCCACCAGCTCCAGCAGCTTGTCTTTGGGCAGTCGGAGGAAGTCTTCGGTCTTACAGAGCGAGGTGAAGTTGGCCAATGCCATTCTCCAGGACAGCTCCAACAGCCGCTCACAGCAGTGGGCATCAGACAGCAGCAGCATGTTCAGACAATTCCCAGGGTAGAGATTCTTCTCCAGAAAGTCAGCCGAAGCATCCCGAATGTCCTGGAACTGCAACATGTCCCCAGCCTCCAGCAAGGACTCTGCGTTCTCCTCGTTAATCAGCACCCGGGCCGAGTAGGCGTAGTCCAGCAGCAGCTCCAGCACCTCGGGGTGGAGGGAGTCGTGGAAGTTGACTTCGGTGTCTCTGCTCTCTTTCAGGCCCCCGCTGAACATGGCATCGAAGTAGCGGCTGCAGGAGGCCAGGACGGCCCGGTGGCAGTGGAAGGTCTGGTTCCCCGCTCGCAGCACCACGTCGGTGAAGAGGTGCCGCTTGCGGAGCAGGTTGAGGTGGGTGAGGAGGCTGTCGGCGTGGCCCGGTTTGTGGAAGAGGTGGATGTTCATGGAGCCGGAGCTCGAGCGGGATTTCCGGTTCTCGTGGCTGCTGACGGACATGGTGGGGAGGCTGCTCTGCAAGGGAAAACCGGCGAGTCAGCACGGAGAGCCTGGCAGCGCCGTCACAGG